AAGTTGAAGACTATCTGGAAAACCTGGATAAAAGATTCAATAAGAAGAATCTATGATGAATTCAAGGTCTCAATTATTTCTATTGGTATCAAGAGTCAAGACTCTTAGAACTCGATATTTGATCTATTGGAACCAGGGGGAGTTTTACTCAAATGGTTTAGAGTCAGGATATTTGATCTTCATCAAGTCGTTGACTCAGGGGGAGTTTCATAAAAAGGATAAGTATTCCTTACCTTTCTTATTTCACTTTTTCTTATTATGTACAAGATTGTGTCATCAAAATACATAGTTTTGTCATCATCAAAAAGGGAGAGATTGTTAGAACAAGATTTAGTTATGCAATATTATCTCTGAGTTTTGATGATAACGAATGAGTTGTTTGAATGAACAATTTTGATACTCTAATGTTTGTTATTTTTTAGTATTTAACAAACAGGTTTTGCTTCTGATGAATGGTGTGGACAAGACATTAGAAGAGAATTAATTCCGCTTTTACGCTACAAAAGTTCTGATGAACAGTAGCAAGACACTCTAGAAGCTTCTGAAGTGTAGGCTCTGATGTTTGTCTAAAGAAACAAGTCAGAAGATCTGAAGACAAAAGTCCTACTTAAGTTAAGATGCTGAAGACTCATGCTCCTAATGACAATGTGTTCTAAAGAAACAAGTCAGAAGATTTGAAGACAGAAGTTCTACTTAAGTCCATATGCTAAAGACTCATGTTTCTGAAGACAACATGTTCTAAAGAAACCAGTCATAAGATCTGAAGACAAAACTTCTACTGAAGTCCAGATGCTAAAGACTCAAGTCTCTAAAGACCCATGGTTCTAAGAAAAGGGTTCTAAAGACCAAGTGTTGAAGACTCTGAAGACAAGTTCTAAAGACTCTAAAGACTTGAAGTTATGAAGACCCGAGGTTCTAGAAAAGGTTCTCACGATCAAGTGCTGAAGACTCTGAAGACGCGGTTCTGAAGACTCTGAAGACTTGAAGTTCTGAGGACCTTAATGTTATGTTCTCTCTTCTCTACTCATGCTTCAATCATTTATCATCAGAAGCCTATTGATAACGAGAAATCGTATCATATAATTACTACACTTTTTACCGATTTTCATAACACATTGAGTCGTTTAACTCCCGATTGTTTCGAGTTTTGTGTCTTTTCACAGGTACAACATTTTTCAACTCAAATCAATGAAAAAGGACCACATGAAGGAAGCTAACCAAGAAACATAAGAGAAAGAACCAAATCTGCAAAGTCTGCAGATTTTGTAGCTGTGACGACCGTCACACCCTATGACGACCGTAACGCCTCCACAACCAGAAAGAACGCTCGTCACACATCATTGACGAGCGTAATGCGCTATTTAAGCGCATTACGACCGTCACCCCCTTGTGACGACCGTCACACGCTTAAAGGGCAACGTTATGAATTAGTGGAGACGTGGGCAACGTTGAGGGCAGAACTCTTCTCCTATATTTCCTCCACTCAGTAACCATGCAGTCAGGTCTTTCTCCACTCAAGCCTTTTCCAAGTTTTTCTCAACTGCAAAATCTTCTTCTATATATATGTGGTAGTTCAATGGATGATGGTCGAAGAATTTTTCCCAGAGCCAAATTTCTATTATTTTCCTGCATTATTCTATTTTCTTGCTTTTGAACCTTTTCTACACGTACTGTAATTTTTACTTCCAGCATTAGTTTTAGAGTGTTAATTCTTCATCTAAGAATTAACACAATTATTGATTTCGATTGAACTGCAAGGAATTTGTAAGCATCCAAGATTAGCATAGCAACATTATTTCCAGGTCTTTTATGCAATTGATATTTATTTATTCTTGTATTATGTCATTTATTTTTATGGATTATATTTTAAATTGCATAGTTACTAAATATATTATGTCCGGCTAAATTAATTGTACCGGTATGTGACTCCTAAGTACCGAAAGAATTCAGTGATAACTTGGCTAAAAACATTTACAAATAATTTCTGGTTTCCAATTTCCATGTTTAATTTAACTACCCTTGTCACGAGAGTGAGAGGATAATTAACACGATTTTGCCACGAGAGTGGGAAATTAAATAAGGCAAGAACCTGCATGCGAGAGCTGGGGTTTGACCCAGATAGTGGTAACGAAACATTAATTTTTAAATACATGAGAGTGTTTTAACAAATTAATTAAACTCAAATTGTTTTCAAAAAGTGTTATTAAATTTAAAGTGCATCCACTAGGTTTAGTAGCATGACTTATTTCATGAACACGAGAGTGTATGTCTCAGGTTTTTAAACAATTCGTTTTTACCGAAATACTTTATATGCCAAGCGATTCACCGAATTTCCGAAGTCCGACTATCACATACCGGTATAGCTATTACTATTATTTTTAATTAAATTATTTCCCCCCTAAAACCAAATATTCATCGCTTAGTTAAACAATTGTAGCATTAGATCGTATGCGATTGATCCTCAGTCTCTGTGGGTTCGATAATCATTTAAAAATTAGAACGACTAAACTGTATACTTGCAGTTAGTATCCCAATAGACTCATAAAGTCCCGATCACCTATGAAGTTCAAAAGACAAATGTCACCGTTAGCAATGACAAGTACACATTATGAAAAAGTTTTATCTCACTACCTCTCCACTAGCTTGAATTGTGGAAAAGAAAAAGATGTGGCAGTATTATTTTCATCATTGTGTAACGACTCTTTTTCAATAGTCAACATCACTATTTTGCTTGGTTATAAAAGAAAAGGATCATATGTTTAAAATATTGTTGGTGTTCAAATGTTAAAATGGAAGTTGTAATAGTTGGAACATAACAAAATTATCAACCAGGATAATAACAACAAGAACAACAAATATTTCTTGAATCATGTTGTTGATAATTACAAGATAACAATGAAGTTATTGATTCATAATGTGCTTAATTTCATATATTGTAAAAAGGTCATGGAAGCTCCAATTACAAATCCACAACATGAATGTTGTGCTTTAAAGTGATCATTGAATTAAATAGAACACGGGCTGATGTCCAGAATGTTCTAAGGTGAATCAAGATGAATAAGTTTTTCTCTTTACTACATCAAGATCAACAAAGCTTTCAGAATCTTATGAAGAAGAAGCCTTCAACGATTCAAGTGCTTTGGGTTGTTGTCTATGAAGAAGCTACTTGAAGAAAAGAAGAACACACATTAAAGCTACAATACAATGTAATATTCTTATTGTGTATTAGGATCTTCTGATATACTTATTTGAGTTTACACTTGCTTGTGTAGAAGCATTCTCTTGTAAACAACCCTTGTAAAAACAAATAGTTGTATGTTCCTTCTAAAGGACCAGTTAGATCAGAAGCTTTAGAAGGTTTTGTGTTTCTTCTAAAGGACCGGTTAGGTCAGAAGTTTTAGAAGGTAATGTGTTCCTCAAAGGACCGGTTAGGTCAGAAGCTTTGAGAAGACTAAGATGGTAGTCTTAGTGGTTGTTAGTCACAACAATTGTCTGTGCAGATTGTAATCAGTTTGGTTGTAGTGGATTAAGTCCTTGAGCTCAAGGTGAAATCACTTTGGTAGGATGGACTTGAGTAATTTGAGGGTTTCCCAAGTGAACCAGGATATATCACGTGTTCTTTACTCTTACTTATGCTTTACTGTTTATGCTTCCACAACATATTCGAAAGCATCACTTAACACAACAATATTAAGAAATGAAAGTTTGCTATGAATGGAAAATCCAATTCAAACCCCAATTTTCTTGTATTTTCTTCCCACCTTCAAGCGCTAGCGAGGACGAATGCGTTGAACTAGTAGAAATCTAGTGCACAATCTCTCTTTCTCACATCTCTTTTAAATTTCATCGCTTTTCTAGAATCGCACGTGGTTAGATTTTATCAGTTTACATCGATTTATGTGAAAGTATAAGTATGTGTTGGATTAAGTCGCCCAAATCATCTTTCTTTGTGATCATAATTGTATAAACTTGTAATGTCAAATTAGATGTTCGATTAATAAGATTCATTTTCATCATTTTGAGTAAATTGAATACTATTTATTAACGCATTGGTTATTTATCATCTTCTAATATTCAGAGTAAACCATAAAAACCAATTCAAATGTATCATTTGTAAAAGTCTCATTGTTTTTAAAATTTTTGTGTCTGACCTTTTATTTCTTGTAAAACTGATTTTGAAGATAAAAATTTATTTAAAAGCTTGTAAGGTTTTTGTGGATCACTAAGTCACTCTGTTTCCTAGATTTTATGCCTCACAAATACTTGTGTTTCCCACTTTTTTTTCAACTGATGCCGATTGTTGTCGCAACATAAACTATATTAGTTGTGCGGTGAACTAAAGCAAATGCAAGCAAGTTTTAGAATTTAGTTAGCAGTGCAGTAGCAATATGTTAACATAAAGTGCATTTCATTGAGTAAGTATGAGAGCACACATTACATACTACTAGTATTTGTAGGTAACTTGTTGGTTAAGCAATTGACTTACCAATTAGTAACTAACACATAACAAGAAGTAACAAACTATTCCATACAACTTACTTGTTAATAACAAACTTAATAAGTTAAACTAGATTTATTAGATTATCAAATCTTAACACTTTTGACTTATTCTCACACCTAATAATACATATTGGAACAAATTCAAAGAATTACGAACTAATATAACACTCTGTCGTCCTCACGAGTGCGAGCAACAGAGTTTTTCTCCAAATCAGGAGTTTTGGACTTTGTTTTACTTGCACTTATATTACAATTATAAATTACTCACTCATGAGCTGTGCAAGAAATTATGGAATTCAAAAAATTATAACATTGACATTTATAATCATCAACTTGACGAAATAAATTTAAGCAAGACTATTGACAGTTCACAATTATCAAAAATCTGCGACTGGGAGATATGAATTATTATGCAAATCATATGTAGTTATGAACTCAATAATTTAGTCCAAAAATACAGCAAGACACAAGGCAGAAGTGAATACAATTAACCGTTTTAGCTATTGCTTCTTCTCCTCGGCTTTCCTAGGCTGAAAGAAGGGATAAACAAAACACAAGTTAATTAAAACTGCTTAACTATAGGCCTTATTCACAAACAGAAAGCATAGCGAAACCATAACACTGAGTTATCTAAGTGATTGTTTCCAAATAAGCTTGCAAATAAGTCATTTATCCAAACAGATCCTAAAAGTTAAAAGAAAGAAAACTCACTTTTGTGCCGGGTGCGTGTTGAGAGAGTTCTTCCTCGGGAATGATAACCGGCCATTGCTCACCGGCTTCACGGAACATCTGTTCAGTCTCAAGGAACAGACCTTTCTCCAGAATCATCTTCGTAATATGGTGCGCCGGCGTCGAGGTTGCATCGAAAGCTTCCTCCACGCCGTTAACGAACGTCACCGTGATCTGCGGCGGATGCTCGACGTTTTTACGCTTGACCTCAACTTCGCAAGCGGGGTTTGATTCTTTGGCTTTTCGGGAGTTGCATTGAGCGAGAAATTCCATACATGATGCGGTTCGTGGATCCAATGCGTTGAACTCGATTTTCACTCTTGACAGGAACTTCAGCATCTTTTCTTTCTCTTTTCGTTACCAAATCGTCAAATTCAGGAATTTGGATTCGGCTTTTAGGGTTTAAGCTGATACAACTTTAGGGGCTGTTTCTTTAACTTTAACAATTAACTTTAACAAATTATAAAAAGAATAGTGGGAGTAGGAAATAAAAATAAAAATTAAAAAAGAAAAAACTAACATATAACATAAAGTAAATAAAACTATTGCCTAAGTATTAAGCAACGGTTTTTTATGTGTGATATACAATTTTTAATAAGTTGCAAAAACCATGTCTATTAAAATAGGTCACAGTTTTATTTACTTTAGACCAGAATTAATTATTTTATATTTTTTTAATTTATCAATTTAATTAATTATTTAAAATTTATTAAATGGAAAACGTGAGGTATAGAATAAGAAAACTTGGTTAATAATATAAATAAATAAATGAGATTTATTTTTAAAAAATTATTTCTAATTAATTGGAAAAAACAGTTAATAAAGTTAATAATTAAATATAATTTGTTTAAAAAAATTATTTCTAATTACTGAAAGTTATGGAAATTATGGTTAACAATAGAAATAAATAAATAAATAAATATTAAGAAATGAAATTATTAAATTAGTCTTATTTTTAGCGTCAATTTTTTTTCATTTAATTAACAAATTTTATATAAAAAAATTTAATTCTATTAATTTATAAATAATAATTTATCTTTAACAATTATTTTTATATCTTCTTCTGATTTTATTAATTTATTTTTCTCATAATATTATTAAATAATAGTTTTGTTAGAAAGTAAGAGTATTATGTAAATGCCTTGTTATTAAATTGAAACACTAGTAACTATTAAATGAAAAAGGATTTTTGGACATCAACTTTTAGAATACCATATGATAAAGTCATCTGAACCATAAAAGAAAATAAAATGTATAATTTGATTTAATTTGGTTGATTTTTAAAAATAAATTGAATCAAATCAAATCAAACTAATGTAGTTTAAGTTTGTTCGATTTTCTATAAAATTTTATTGAATCATACATACACATATAAAGGACAATATAATTTTATTTAGTCATTAATATATTATCATTAAATAAGTTTATAATTTCATGCATATAAATATGAATTACATCTTTTAATTTTATCTTATGTTTAAAGTGAATGTACACTAAACACAAAAAATAGGGGATTTGAATTGGGTTTCCATATTTGAAACTTTTTCTACCCAACACAAGCAAAGATGAAACAAGAACAAAAATAAATGAACACAAATATTTTTATCATGGTTCACTATTAACGAAGTTAATCAAATCCAGCCGTCAAGGTGATTTTCCCTTTCTCAACAAGAACTTAATCAACTGTAACCAAACTAATTACAATCCACAAAGAATATTCGTCAATGTCTTCTTGAAAAATTCTAACTATACCCTAGTTTCTCAAGGAACAATCAATTCAAAAATTGAGATGCAAAATGTGTGTTTCCAAGATGCTTCTAAACAAGCAGATTTACACAAATTGAAATACAATGATGAATACAAAAGTGTTTCTAGCAAGTATATGAAAAAAAGTTTCTTAGTATACAAGGATGAAATATTTATGTTTGAGAGTTCACGTGAAAAGTTCTTAGAGAAAAAGTTATTTTTTTTCAAACTTGTTTTCTATTCTTCTAACTCTTCTTTATATAGACAAAGAAAGATCAGTTGAAGGATAAAATGAGCATACCGAAATTCAGTTGTATTCTTGCATAATAGTGAGTGAGAGTTGAAGGGTGATAAAACACTTAGAAGGGGGGTTGAATAAGTTTCTCTTTTTCTTTTTCTTAAAGGCTCAACAATAATGGAAAGACACAGTTATTTTTATCCTGGTTCGTTTGAACTCAAACTACTCTAGTCCATCCACCAAAGTGATTTCGCCTTTCTCAACAAGGACTTAATTCACTATAATCAAATAGATCACAATCACACAACCAAACTGTTGTGACTAACAATTCAAAGCACAAGTAAACTTACAAGTGACTAACACCACTAAGACTCAAACTAGTCCTAGCCTTCTTGAGAAATCTGACCAAGCTTGGTCTCTCAAGGAACAATTACAAGAATTAAATCTTTACAGATAGTGAAACAAATTGCTTCTTAGAAAGCTATATCACAAACTGTGATTTTTCACTAAGATTAGTTTTATACAAAGTGTTTGTAAAATAATTTGTGAGCAGCAGAATATTTTCACGTAGTTGGGTAGTTGGCTTGCAATAAATGATCTTCTATTTATAGCATGAAGAAAACGACCGTTGCTGCCTTCAAAAGTGTGGAGCAATTAATGTTTGCGTGTTTGCTTGCAGTGTTGCATTTTCTAATGAACTAGCATAGACACTTGAGTGCATGTAGACGTCTTTGCATTAAATGAACAAACGACACTTGTCAGAGCATGTTTCCTGAAACTTGACAAAAACTTGTTAGCTTCTTTATTCTATCAGAACTAGCTTCACAACTTGCTTCAGAATGTGTTTGCAAAACTTCTTATCAGCGCTTGCTTTTCTGAACATGGTTTACATGGGAACTTGCTAAGCTTTAGAAGATGCACTAAATAGTTTCTTATCAGAGTCAGCATCAGAACTTGTGCTGAAACAAATAGTTCTTTCATCAAAGAACTTCTTCATTTATTTTCAGCTCAGCACGTCAAAATGATTTTCATCTAGGAAAATACTTCAGTCATAACATTATCTGAAACAAATAAATATGCTCATCAGAGTATCAATTATATAAAATATATTTTATTGTTATCATCAAAACTCTGAGATATGATCAGAACCAATCTTGTTCTAACAATCTCCCCCATTTTGATGATGACAAAAATATTCAGGTTTTGAAATAAAATTGAATAAGAGATAAGAATCTCCCCCTGAAATAAATATTTCTATAAGAAAAACTTCCTGAGAATTTTCATCAGAGCTTTGAGATTTTTCTTCTAGGATTTCTTCAGTATGTCTTTTGAAGATGAAATTCTGGCAGCAGATACTCAATGTCACAGTGAATGTTATGACACCGTATCTGACTTTCTATAAGACAGAAAATCAAAAAGCAGTAAAGAACACAGTCAATTGTTTACCCAGTTCAGTGTGAAACAACACCTACTCTGGGGGCTACCAAGCCAGGGAGGAAATTCACTATAAGAGATATTAATTCAGGAATAAACCAACCAGTTTATCTCCTTCACTTAAGACCTACCCAATGCAACTTCAATCTAAGTTCAACTTAAACATGAGTTCCTACTCACTCCCCCTCAATCATAGCAGTGATACTAAACAATTGACTAATGAAATAATGAAGACACTCTTCAGAACATACACTTGATTATGCTTCACAGCTTTTAATCAAGTAACACAAACACTCGTGCTTCAAAGCTTTGAGTGATACATAATCCTAACTTGACCTTGCTTCAAAGCTTTAATCAAGTGACACAAACACTCTTGCTTCAAAGCTTCGAGTGATACACAACCCTTACAATCAAAACCTACTCCAAGTCACTTATCACAATGATACTTGCTTGGATTACAGTAGTTAAAACTATACAGCCCCTAGTTGATCTTCTGTCAAAGAGTTAATTTTCCAACAGCTTTCCTGTTGAATATATATGCAGTTGTTTCTTCAGTTAGGGCTTCCACGAAAAGCTAGGGTTAATTAGGGTTAACCTCAAGACTTGGTCACAAGACTTTATCAACTAGATTAGGGTTGAGCTAGGTTAACCTAAAGTCCACGTGAGATTCTGTTCTAGAAAGTATGAACCAAATTCCTGAAAAATCTCAGAATTAACCAAACTGCAAAACTGTTAGATCAGTACATGATGTCTTAACATTGGTTATGACAATAGAAATCCTGTTTACTGATTTGGTAGAAGGTAATAAATGTGATCATTGCAAAATGCTCAGATACACACTCATAAATAGCAGCTACTGTATGCCATTCTTTTTCTGCATAAAGTACCTAAAACCCCAGAATGTTATGACATCAGTTATGACATTCACATACCTGGTTTTACCAAAAATACATGCCAATAACTAAACACTTACAAACTCCCCCTTTGGCAAATTTTTGGCTAAAACCCCTAAACAATCAGAGAATAGAGAGCAGCAGAAATAATATATCTGCAGAAAAAAATAATGTCTACCAAGTAATTAACACAAAATCTTCTCCCCCTCTTTAGCCATAAATAGGCCAAAGATACATGTACTTATAGGTTATACAGTCATCCAAAATGAGTAATAAAAACAACAAAAAATCTGAAATCACTTGCAGCAACAGGTACCAGCAGCAAGCTTGACAACTCCATGAAACTTCAAGCACTGTCATCTTCAGAGGAGGCACTTTCTTCAGCATTAAGCTGATCTTCAGCAGCATCCTCTTCCCTTCTTTGTCCTTCAGTCTCCTCCTGTTCTAATATGGCAATTAGGTTCTCAAGAGTCCTTTTCCTTGTCTCCAGCTCTTTGCAGGTTTCCTTTAGCACAGCTATAACATCAGATGTCTTGGACTGAGTTTTGACAGTTGATGTCTCAGCTGATGTCATGACAATGTCAGGAACATGAGTTCCCTGAAATAGCTTATAGTGCAACCCAAGAGCAGGGGCTCTTTTGCATACAGTATCTCTTTCCACTAGGATGTCAGGATACTGAGCAAGGACAATACCACATAGGAGGGAGGGAAAGGCAATAGGGCCTTTAACAGCATAGCTTTCAGCATGTTTTAAAGTTTGATCAAAGATATACCTGCCATAGTCAAATTTTGTCCTGGTTCCAACAGCATAAATGAATCTTCCCAATCCTGTGGAGATGGTTGATTTATGGTTGGTAGGAACCCAGTTGGCTGCACCAATCTTGTGCATGATGGAAAATTTTATGCTTAGCTTGCTTGCATTCAGCTTGCCTTTTAAGGGCCAGCTCCTTACTTGATTTGCAGTGATGGTTTGGCATACTTGGTTGTCAGTAACCTCTAGTTCAGGGCAAGCCTCATCTGGTCTTCCA